CGGTCATTCATCACAGCCCGCAATGCAAACAAGAACAGCCATTTTGTTGTTGACTGCGAGAACCTCTAACCCTGCCCTACCTGTACACATACCTTTGTCTGCATGGAAATAATCCAGCTTATTATGGCGAATGCAGATGAAAGGTAGGACAAAGTTTGTTCTGATTTTGATTGGTGGGGTTTTAACCAGTGATAATGTAGCGAATGCCATGATCACGCAGATACAGTGATAAACTGTGGGATCAGATCAGGCCTGGGATCTCTACGGCCCGCGGAGAGAAAAAAACCCAATGCATCACCTCACAGCACTGCCAGACGTGGCAGGCGAGAAAAATCGGCCCACACTTTGGGAAAACAAAGACAATCAGGGCTTTCTCTCGTTCGCCTCCCCTCCTTTTCCTTTGGTGAGCAGCTGCAGCGAGCCAGTCAAATGTGCGGGATTTTTTTTATTCTTTTTTTCCCTTGCCAACTTGTCCTTTTTCTGAGATGTAATGGAGGGAGAAAGAGATAAAGCAACAGAACCTGGCAAGGCAAGGTACGCATTCGTTTTTACAGATGGCGGTCCAGTTGATAATTGAAAAGGAAGTCTGGGATTTTGCACCGGTTGACAGGGAAAGGCTATTTCTGGGCTTTCCTGTGTAATTGACCCATGACCCCCTCCTCACAGACATTCACATCTCAACGTTTTCACACTCCCACTTTATTTGACCCTGCACTCATACTTGTATTGTAATGCTTATGTTATGTATTTTCCCTTAAAGGAGTAGTTCACTTTAAAAAAAAAAAAAAAAAAAAAAAACTTTTGCTGATAATTTACTCACCCCCATTTCATCCAAGATATCCATGTCATTCTTTCTTCAGTCGAAAAGAAATTAAGGTTTTTGATGAAAATGTTCTATGGATTTTCTCCATATAATGGACTTCAATGGGGTCCAAACGGTTCAAGGTCCAAAAGACAGTTTCAGTGCAAGCTGTTCAAAGGGCTTTAAACGAGTTCAGACGATGAATAGGGGTCTTATCAAGCGAAATAATCGCTCATTTAAAAAAAATTTTTTTTTAAGTTTTATAAGCTCAAATGCTCGCCTTGCTCTGTTCTGTGATGCGCGTTCGTGACTCTCCTGTTCGAATTCGTTCATCAAAATGAACGAATCTTTTTTCGTGTCATTTGGTTCATTCGACGAACGAAATGAGCGAATTGACTCGGAAAAAAGATTTGTTCGTTTTGATGAACGAGTTCAAACTGGAGAGTCACGAATGCGCATCACAGAACAGAGCTTATAAATAGACCAGAGCTTATATCAGACCATTTGAGCTTATAAAACGTAAACTTTTTTTTTTTTTTTTTTAAATGAGCGATCGTTTTGCTTGATGAGACCCTTATTCATCGTCTGGAATCGTTTAAAGCCATTTGAACAGTTTGCACTGAAACTGTCGTTTGGACCTTGAACCGTTTGGTTCCCATTGAAGTCCATTATATGGAGAAAAATTTTCATCAAAAATTTGTTTTTTTCTTCTTTTCTTTTCGACTGAAGAAAGAAAGACATGGACATCTTTGATGACATGTGGGTGAGTAAATTATCAGCATTTTTTTTTTAAAGTGAACCACTCCTTTAAGTTGTGTGTTGTTAACTAATTTTCTATGGTTTTATATTAGTTTATATTAGTCCAACTAATATTTATATATTTATAAATATTAGTTGCTAACTAACTTTGGATGGTTTTATATTATATTTATATTAGTCCAACCAGTTGCAATCCCTGTGTCTAGTTTTTGTGTATAGTTGGTCGTTTATAGCAAGTTCCTGCCGAGTTGGAAATGTACGTTTTTGGTTGAATCATGGTAGGAAAACTCACTTATGTAAGGCATTGGGGTTTACAGATAATGACATGTTCATTAATTGGAGACATGTTAATTTTACTGTACAAGTTCCACATTTTTTTTACTCTGCCTGTTGATAAAATGGTGGAAATACAAGAGTCTGATTAATTCTAACATTGAAACAGCCATTATCACACAGATGCAGATACGATCAGTCTAAGTGTCAGAGCTTTTGATTTATTTCATTTTAAATCCAACACTTTTGGCTCACTAACCCTGTAAGCTTTCTGGATGGCTAAACAGGAGGCCCAGCACAAATGAATGAAATGACCAACAAGATAAATGATCAGATGTGTGTAGGTTTCATGTATATTAACTGTGCGGCTGTTGTGCAGTGAAGGACTGCAGAACACGTGTGAGTGATTTGGCTCTGGAGCCCAGAAGGCCAGGGAGAGAAATACACATAGCTGATGACGGACACTTTGTTTGGCTTGTAACGCTAGAACAGGATAGAAAAGAATAAATCAATCAATCATGTCTAAACTGTCAGGACTAGCATGTGGCCCTCTAAAAAAAACCCACTGAGATTAGAAAATATATACATTCTCGCTTAAAGGTTGTAAGAAAGCACTGATTTTGACGTAAATGAGCCGTAATTCGATTTTGAGATAATCTTCCTGCAAGGTATTGTGGGTTTGTGTTGGAGGATATGCCTGACATCTTGCACTCTTAAGGCGATAGTTCACCCTAAAAATATGCATACTTATTTTGTTCCAAACTTGTATGAATAAATGTTTTTTTAATCCAGACCACAAAAGAAGATATTTTGAAAAATCATTGTAAAAAATAATCCAGTAAAAAACCGGGCTGCCAGCATCATACCGTAAAATTACAGAGTGTTACTGTTTTTGAAATTAAAAGCTAAATACCGTATTGTCAGCTACAGTACAAAACTTTAATTGAACAACTATATGCTTTAACACAAAAACAGTAACACACCGTATAGTTACGGTGAAAAATACGGTGTGAAAAATTACGTAAAAATATGGTGTGTTACCGTTTTTGAAATTAACAGCTAAATACCGTATTGTCAACTACAGTACAAAACTTTAATTGAACAGCTATATGCTCTAACACAAAAACAGTAACACACCATATAGTTACTGTGAAAAATACGGTGTGGAAAATTACGTAAAAATACGGTGTGTTACTGTTTTTGAAATTAACAGCTAAATACCGTATTGTCAGCTACAGTACAAAACTTTAATTGAACAGCTATATGCTCTAACACCAAAACAGTAACACACCGTATAGTTACAGTGAAAAATACGGTGTGAAAAATGGTGAAAAAATACGTTGTGTTACTGTTTTTGAAATTAACAGCTAAATATTGTAACACTGTAACACACCGTATAGTTACGGTATGATGCTGGAAACCACAGCTGCCAGTAGTTTACCGTTTTTTACAGGATTAAGTTTTTTCTCTCCCAAATATCTTGTGTCACTGAAGAAATGAGGTCAAACAGCTCTGGAATTACAAACTAACATATTTAAAAGAAGTGCTGATAAAGTTAGCATTAGCATCTAAAGCCATCAACATACTTTTTGTAAGGGAAAAAACTATTGATTTGGGTAAGTGTAATGCTTAAAGGCATAGTTTTGTCATCATTGACTTGAGTTTGTTTCTTCTGTTGAGTACAAAAGAAGATACTTTAAAGATTGTTGAAAGTTGACGGTGGTCATATATATTTTTTTTCCTACTATGGAAGTCACTGGTTACCATCAACCTTTTGAATACCAACATTCTTCAAAATAGCTTCTATTGTGTTTAACAGAAGAAAGAAACTCATACAGGTTTGGAACAACTTAAGGTTGAGTAAATTACGACCAAATAGTCATCATAGTTTTTGGGAGAATGAACCACTTTGATGTAAGGGTCAGTCATTATTGCCGCGGAGAGCTGTTAGAAAAGTGTTTGTGAATCTTCAATGTGTAACTTTTGTTTTATGAGCACAATAAGGGCGAGAGATCCCTCCCTCTTTGCCTGAAATGCTGTGTGCATCAAAATGATGCTCTGCGGTTGCAAAGGCCAGTTGTCAGTGACTTCGCATTTGCTGATAGCTCATGGAAAACATTGCTCCATCTCATTAAGTTATTGCCATCATTTTTATTCTTTATGGTCATGCGGGCTACCGTCCCTCATTCTCTTTTCACATTCATTTTCTACATATCTATGATTAATGGGAGATGTCGAACCGTAGAGTGAGCGAGCATCAGCGAAGGTGAGATCATAATTAGTTTAGCTGTTGCAGGCCCTCCAATGGCGCATCTGGACGGAAAAATTACCCTATAGGAAGCTGGCGGAGCTCCAAAACTTTTTACTGATACGTTGTGAAACACCCGATGAATCAAGTGCCCCTTTCCCTGCCAAAAAAGCTCTACCGACTCCAAGCCAAAATTATGTCTGCGGAAAGCTTTCCATTCTAAATGTATTAGAGCACAATTAGGAGCATTGTACTTTTCTGGCAGGAGAAATGTGCTCTCTGCGCAAGCCGTCTGAAGTTAGGCTAAATAAATCGTACACATTCTATAAGCCTAAACGAGTTTTACAGGGGCCATAATCGAGATAATTCTTGTGATTTGCCTCGGCTGACTCTCGGGATTCACTTTTAGTTCTGTCGGTTCCCGGCGGATGATTCATGCGGCTATATCTCTTTCTTTTTTTTCCCTACTTGAGTTTGTTTTCCCCTTCTCTCACAGTAGAGTGCAATATTTCAAGCTACTAGATATTTTGAGTTGCAGCCATGTATTTAAAGGTTCACGTCATGCATGTGTTTGAGAAGAGACATTTATTCAAAGATCAAAATATTTATGTCAGGCCGGTGTTGTCGCTGACACAGTGGCCTGTACATCACAGGAAGGTTAATTATAGTATTAGAATCAGATTGGTTGTGCCTAATCCTGGCTTTCTGATTTGGACGCATTATGTCTGTCTGTCACCATCAGAGCTGTCAAATCCAGCTACACCCTACTGAGTCTTTACCTTTTTCCTACCTTTCTTGCTCACTTTTGCATTCAGCTCCCATCTTCATGCTGAGCTTGAATCTCAATCCCTCCACAGCTCGCTCTTTTTTTTTTTTTTCTCAAAAAGCTCATTTTGGCTCTCTTCTTTATGATTTCAGAGACGACGGGGCTCGGGGGTCTTCTGCGCCAACTGTCTGACCACCAAGACCTCACTGTGGAGGAAGAATGCCAACGGCGGCTACGTGTGCAACGCGTGTGGCCTCTATCAGAAGCTGCACTCGGTAAGGGGGAAACTAAGAAAACATCAGTGCAAACGCCTCGCCAGCCCACCCACAAATCGCAGAAACAGAGTTCAAATGAATGGAGAGGTGACAGCGTAGCAGCTTCGGTTTGATCGCTTCATTTCCGCGCTGTCAGGCGAGGATCCCGAGGGAATAGCCCTTTTGGCCTTCCCCATACCCTGAAGCCAGCTAATGGTCCTATGGAAGTAATTTTGCACCAGCTGGGAGCCCTACTTCCCACAGTCCTAACAAACACCTGACCTTAAAACCCGAGACGGACACAATGGCACCTGGCACAACCTTAAAACCCCAGTCGAGACGGATGCATTTCTTTCTCGCGTGGATCACAAAAAGAGACGTTTAGCAGAATGTCCAAGCTGCTTTTTCCCATACAGTGAAGTGAATGGTGACTATGTTGTTTCTAGTTCCCGTTCACCTTCATATTATGGAAAAAAGCAGCTTGGGCCATCCTGTTCAATATCTCTTTCTGCATTCCAAAGCCTATAAAAGTCATTGTTTGGAAGGTTGAAAACAAAACAATTCCCCTATGGAGAAAATTATTTTTAATGTTTAAAGGGATACTCCACAGTTTTTTTTCATATTAAACTATGTTATTCCCTTAACTAAGACGAGTTGATGCATACCTCTGTCGTCTCAGTGCGTGCGCTCAATCGCTCTGGCACGTGAGACACATTTGATTGCACTTAACTAGCCCAGTTCATTCAATATGGGCCAAGCAGAGAAGCGACCAAACACCTCCACGTTTTCTCTATTCAAAGATGCCACCTAGGTCACTACAAATAGAACGCCGCCATATTTGCGACCGACTCGCCCGGTGTGGCTGCGATCCTTATTTGTTACCCCCAGTTATCTTTAGTCCATTATTATCTGCCCCAGGCTTGCCCCAATTGGCATTTCATGATATAGAAATACATAAGTCATAAAGCTATTATGGCACGCGTTCATGAGAGTCGAGGCGATTTCATTAATGAATCTTCTGCAGCAGTTCGGCTGGCATGAATGAATCTATCTAATCCGAACAACAGCACTGGCAGAGTCCAGAGAGACACCTGCATCAGCACAGTCAGAGATATCAGTCAAATATCATAAAAAGACATTGAGATGATCAGTTACAGAGAAGGTTTAATACACACAAATATCGAAATGAAAGAGTCTTTCGAGTCGAATCTTTTTGAATGATTTCGCTCCAATTAAAAGCTATCAGGTAAAGCTCTTCAGTGTTTATAATATAACCACTTAAATTGCAGTTTGTTCGTCACATAAAGATATCATATTAATAAATAACGATATAAATATAACGGACGAGTCGTATTAGATCACTTTTATGATACTTTTGTGATGTTTTTTGTCTTTTTATTATAATTATTTTTTGCATGACAGCCTCCAGTAGGCTAATGTTACTCATTCACTTTCATCACATCGATAAGAAGAGTCTCCGTTAGGCTACATATTCAAAAATATGCCTTTGTCTTCCACGGAAAGTAAACTTAAGGATTTGCACATGAACGTGAGTAGTTAAATGATGGCAAAATTATCATTTTTTGGTATTAACAGACAGACAGTTATGTTCAAAATAACCCCGAATAAAATGAAAAAAAAAAACGTTGTCGATATCTGTTTGTATAAGGCCATCCTTAAAAATATTTTGGTTTGCAGTAACAGCAATTTTTTAAAAAAAAAGGGTCGGTAGGTAGGTCTATATTTTTTTTTCCAAGGTTCAGTGTAAAAAAAAAAGGTACAATTTTGGAGATGGTGATCGTGAATTTAAAAAAAAATGCATATTGTGACGTCACTGACTGGGTCTTCAAACTGTGCATCCACCGCTAGGTGTTAATGCAAAATACGACCAGTTACATTTTAGGCTAGTCACAAAATGTATAAAATATCATAGTATGCATATATACATGAGATAAGCAAAAACAAGTACAAACACATGGTCAAACAAAGAATACAATTAAACAAAGATACAAATTAGCCTATATACACAGTGCTTTAATTTCAGGAAGGTCTAAAATTAGCTACTTTTCAGTTAAGTCTGTCGCTCTCTCTGAAAAGAAATTTAATTTAGCTAGTGATCAAATGTAAAATGACACTGCATAGTTTATCATAGTTAGATTAATGCTAATTAAAGTTTAAGTTATTCATTCAAGAGCTGTGAGTGATTTGTATCTGCCTTTTGTTGTTTGATTCGCATTGGCTCAATCGTCACGTTTATTAGACTACTGCCCCTTTAAGACCGAATGCAGAACTCTACTGTAATAGATGACTGATGCACCATCATTTTCTCCCAACTATTTACGTCCAATTAAGACATAAACTGTGTTTAAATGAATCTCAGAGCAGGTCATTTTATATTTTATGTATATTTGATGGTTTAGATGCGCACATGAAGCCCAAAATGAGGCTATAGCCTACTTTTCTTGTCTCGTTTTAGTGCATTTCGGAGCGCGCGTCGCGAACAACGTCCCTTGCGCAGACTTTTGTGCTTTTAGTAGCTCTTTTAATGATTGAACGCGTCCGCAGTTTAGCAACAGTACAGACTGCATTTTACAACAATCACCGATCGTGCTGATTCTTCTGACGGTACGTTTGGGTTTTAGGAAGAAATGACAGCACAACGCTGTGAAGAGAAGGAAGTTGCGCTAGACAGAATGCGTCTGTAATGGTTTCATCTCAAATGTCTTCTTTTTATAATCTTTGAAAGCGGAAATCTAAAATATAATTAGAATAATATCCCAGATCTAAAGTGTAACCACGTTTTGTCCTCATTGTCACTCATTAAGCAGGGCTGTCGTGCTGTGCGCGCTGTGGCTCCGGGTGAGAGATCGCTCTCTCTTCTGGACTGCGAATAGCAAAATTGCATCACAGACAAATTGTTTAATATTTTTATTATAGAAATGGTTGATATTCAGCCCCGTTGCCCTTTTAATACCGGGTACCAAGCGACACTGAAACGAGCGAACGTAAGCCATATAGTGACACGCGTAACGTTAAACCAATGGTGTAGACTGATAATCTGATGACTATGACGCCACGGGTTTTTATTTAAGAAAGAACGTAGCCTACGTTTGTAGGCTATGTAGACACAAGCAACTTTCACAATACTAACTAAAATATAATAAATATTATTTTATTGAATTTGAATTAGTTGTTTCAAGAGTAAAAAAAAAATCGGTCGGTCTGAACGCAGGTTACAACCGGCAAGTCAGTCGGACTAAAAGGAAAAAAAAAAAAAAATTGGGTCGGCCCTAAATTGACAGGGTCGGTCGGGTTACGGCAAACAAGAATATTTTTAAGGGTGGCCTAATGTTGGCCACTGAGAGTAGGCTATAATAGAAATATAATTAACCACAAACAGCAACATGAGACTTCAAGTCTTTTCTTTTGGTATTGAATAAAATACCAGTCCAGGGTTCCTCTTTCGGCTGTTGTTGCAGCCAACTGCACAACATATTGCAAGCATTACGACCGTCGGTCGCAAAGATGACTGCGCAAAGCTACAGTGACGTCACGTGAACCGAATGAATTTAAATACAGTTACTCGAGTAGTGTAACTCGACCTAGGATGGTGACACAAAATAAAATGTTGCGCTTTTCTAAGCATGCAAAGTGGATAACTATATTGTATGGCGAAATACCACAGTAAGTGCTTGGGAGCACTTCGACTCGGCGCAGATATCTATGGACTCGGCGCAGTAATATCATCACTCTGGAGAATGAGAGGGGGGAGAGGACTTTTCACGAGTGATGATATTACTGCGCCGAGTTGAAGTGCTCCCAAGCACTTGCTGTGGTATTCCACCATACAATATAGTTATCCACTTTACACGCTTAGAAAAGCGCAACGTTTTATTTTGTGTCACCGTCCTAGGTCAAGTTACTCTACTCGTGAAAATGTGGAGGTGTTTGGTCGCTTCTCTGCTTGGCCCATATTGAATGAACTGGACTAGTTAAGTGCTGTCAAAGTGTCTCTCGCGCCAAAGTGATTGAGTGCACGCACTGAGCCGACAGAGGTATGCATCAACTCATCTTAGTTAAGGGAATAACATAGTTTAATATGAAAAAACGCTGGAGTATCCCTTTAAAGACAGACTTACTTTGAGCTACAAGGTTGTTAATTAGTGGTAATCAGCCCTAATTATTATTTTTTTTTTTTTAAATAATCATATTTAACAGCAGAATTCCTGGTGAAAAACTACATTACCCACGATTCTGCAAAAAATCCTACAGTTAGAGAATTATGAAATATATATAGATATATGTCCGTACACTGGAGTATACCTTTAAAGACAGACTTACTTTGAGCTACAAGGTTGTTAATTAGTGGTAATCAGCCCTAATTATTATTTTTTTTTAAAATAATCATATTTAACAGCAGAATTCCTGGTGAAAAACTACATTACCCATGATTCTGCAAAAAATCCAACAGTTAGAGAATTATGACATAATTAGAGAATTATGACATAATATATAGGACATGTCCATATACAGTACATCATACATACATATATGACATATATATATATATATATATATATATATATATATTTATGTATATATACATACCACATACATATATATATATATATATATATATATATATATATATACAGCTTAAAATTTTACATGTATATACATATACAGCTGAGAAAAATGAATTGTAAAAATACTTCTGGAAACAAGGCCACTGAAAATTGGGTGGACACTGTTGCACTTACTATACCATCTGCTTAAATGCATAAAGCAGAGACTGTATTATTAATATTTTTTCAGCTAGATAGTGTGAAATGTGCCCAAAGAAAAGAAACTGCTCGTTTCTGGACTCGGTCTCAAAATGGCTTAATTTGATTTGCTTTATTGCCTCGCAGTTCTCTGCCTTCCCAATTTAATTCTGATCTTAATGTCCATCTGTGGCTGTACTTAAGGCTTTGTCTTAAAAGTGTTCTTCTACTTGCTTTGAAGCGATGTCTGGATAAACA